GCTCACAGCCAGCTTTGGGAACACTAACAATTGATTGGTTTTGTTAGGTTTCCGAGTGGTTGCAATTCCGTTGTGAAGGCAAAGGGTAAAATTAAGGAAGGTGTTCATTTTCACATCCCCTGGAGTGTAGCTGAAGGTCATCATTCTACGCTTGACACCTCACTCCACTCCTAATGTACCCTGCAACATACAGTATGCTTACTAAATTAACAGTTGAATTTATGTGGTTATTATTTATTTATAAGAAACTCATAAGTAGGAGGAAATGCAAATGCCCTGATGAGGCAGCAAAGCTTTAACCAAAAAAATAATATTTTTTAACATAAAAGACGCCTATTGATATGATGACCAGTGTCGGTAGCCTGTTCATGGAAAGTGCAAGCAGTCCAGGGCATGTAGCAGGGTAGCTTTTCACCACACATTAACCAGGATGATCCACTTTTGTCATTATCTGGAAACCCACCCTGAGAAATGCCACGCACCTATCGCTGGAGCTCATATATGTAGAGAAGAAGTGGCTGCATAGAAGCTACAGGAGATCAACAGCACTGATATGCAACAAAGCATATAAAATGGTGAACGCAAGTATATTATTTAAACAAGTGGCAATTGTTTATCATACAAAATATTTTGCCAAACCTAATGGGTTTACATATACTTACAGGTAACCCAACGTTTTAAATATTAGCCCTCATGTGTTTAGTAACGCTAGGCTGGGTTGGCGCTATTTTAGTGAATACTTTAGTTTGGTCCCAACCCACATTTTTGCTTAATGCAGTTGCCAAGGGAAGTAGGACACATTTTGGACATTATTGGCAGTGGACACAGATTGCACCTTTCTATACCGCACTGAGGTTTACACTGGCATTTAGCTTAACTTCTACTGCACAGTAAAAGCTCTGCTGTAGTGAAATGCTCATAAGTGGTTATCATCCATAACGGAAGTGTCCAGATTTTAAAATAATTTTATCTTATTTACTATGGCTCTAACTGTTAACTAGACTGGTAGATTTGCCAGAAGATTAGCAAATCTAACTTTTCACAGAGAAATCTAATTTTCCACAGAATAACATGAACGTGTGTATTGTTTTGGCCACCCACTGTACATAATGCAGATCAGAAATCCTGTTTCTTAGATTTCCCTGCGCAAGGTTAGATTTGCAGATCAGTTGTTAGTCAAATTGTTCATCTAGATTAATAATAATTACTCGTACAAAGTGCATCTAAAAGGTACAAACTCCTTTTGTCTGCTGCTGAAGTGGTTAAACAAAGCCAATAAAGAAAACTAAGGTTTGCACTGGGATGCTTGAATGCTAACAGCTTGCTTAGAGCAAGATGATACTCATTAGTGCTGTGGTGTGCATCGCAGGGTATAGAATAGAACGACTTGCCTGCAAACTTAAACAGCAGCTTGTCATTCCAGGCTCTTAAATAAACATTTGAAGGAAAGCCATCAGATTCATAGTGGGTGATTCATTCTGATGTGTTTCCTTTTTCTAAGCTGTTTTCTAATCAGACCTTCTGTCAAAGTACTGGCATTGCTCTTGGGTATAATTTATGGTTACATCCCATTTCACATTAAAAATGTAGCTTATTAGCCTAACAGAGCGGGGATAACAGAAAATAGCATACCTTCTGTGCACACTCTCTTATTATTAATCTGGAAATCGATCTGTTATGGTGTGCGTATTTGTTTCAGTCTCCGCGTGTCACTTTATTGTGGTTTTTAGCTGGGGCACCTGGGGAGAATAATCTCTTAAAGGCATATAGCACTGACATTAACCGTGTCAATTAAAAGCCAGCTAGGAGTGAACTGCATTGATAAGTACACTCCTAAACATGGATAGTGTATTAGGTGTGACATGCATTAAGGCTTCTGCCAAAGGATGTAGCTGTATTAAATGTCTTTAACAAATAAATGTTCTACAGAACATCGCCTTTGTTATATGTATGCCTGCAGGCTACTTAGCTCTGGTCGTTTTTGAACATATTGGCTATAGTTTGAAGACACATGAATTATTTATTGATTAACCTGTTGTTAACATAGAGCTCTAATTATGTAAAAAAAAACACACCTTCACTATTTCACCTATAAGTGTAATTTTTGCTGATGTCCATAACAAAATACAATTCTCTTGAGGGCTTGTTCACACCATGTCCGGACCAGATCCAGACCAGTACGGTTTTTTAGGCTCTGCTTTTTCCCTGTTCACTATCAGGTTGACTGTCAGAATAATTTGATTTCAAAGATCTCATTAGAAGGTATAAGGGACATCAGTGTTCAATAACGCATAAGAAAATAAGTTCTTATATGCACATTACAGATATGTCCAGTTTGCCCCAAAACTATGTCAGATTTTTAATCACTCAAACAGGAATCCTATGAGTAGTCAATAGAACCTAATACATACTGGCTCCTCATTTATCTGCAATCGGTCTGTGAGCCATGAATGATATTGCACATTCACTACATTGTAAGGTCGATTAACAATGTGCAATCACAAGTAATTTTGTTGGTTGGACTGATTGGTATGGGAATCTGTTACCCCCCCCTTGGGCAATTTAGATCTGTAGAGCTCACAACTTAAAATCTTGTTGTGTGCCTATAAGATGTTAGATCTTACGGGCATGGACCATTAATAACTACTAAATATTTTCAGTTTATCAGCAATTTGATAAGTTGGTAGCTGAGGTTAGACAAGATTTGCCTCTCACTATGTACAACCCCTTCAATATTTATGTAATGATTACCCAAATACCCTAACATAAGTTTCAACATATCACATTTCGTTTTCCATTTTTAACATTGTGGTGTCATTATTTTAAGGCCAGAACAGTCATTTAGGTCAGCCTTGACAGAGGCATGCCATTTACACCATCTGGTGTTAGCCATTCTGCTACCTCTGCAGTAAAAGAGAGTTTGTGCTGTGCATTCAGTCACAAAAATAAATAAAATCCAACACTGTCAAAGATTAGGCCACCGTGAGAATTTGCATCGCTTTTATTTCTGCTTTGTGCATGATTTTATAGCCTGCAGAACACTTATGAGATCTCTGGTGGTTGTCTCTTATTAAGCAATTATACATGTATTAATTTTTAATAGGATTAAATACTAAGTTTTATGGTTTTAATTTTGTGAGTATATTTATGGGAATGGTTATCACAGGTAGGCTTTGTTCTTGCTGGATTATTACAAGCTGTAAATTAGATAAAGTGTTCCTTTTAATCAAATCTGCTGGCATATATGTGCAAGTATTATTTTTAGAGGTGGTGTGTTAGCGGCAAATCATTTATCACTTTCCAGCAATATGTTGTTAGTGGCGCACTGTATGTGCACTTAATATAATTTCCATTGTCCTCTGTGTTTACTATCTATTCTTCATTAAAGAAAATTATTCAACAATTCAATAAGAAAAAGGCTTTTCGGTTATTTCTGCTTTTGATTTGTTATGTTATTTTGTTTCCTGGCAAATACTTTTTTTTTTCAAGAAAAACAGCTAAAATTCCGCGCCAGGCCAAAGATATTAAAGTGTTTGATTGAAAGTTCTAATTAAGTGAATCTTAGAAAATTAGCTGAAATTAGCTGTCAGAAAGTCACATTTAAATGAATAATGGTAGGCTTTGGCAGTAAACATTTAAATGATATAAATTGCCATTTAAGCGTATGGTTTAATGTTTGTCATACATTAATGTGACATCTGACTGTGGTGACAATCAAGCAGCCTTCTGTAATTTGAACATATTTAGGGCTTTTGTCCTAAGTGCCACCCACAAATTAAGACAATTGCTGTTTTTTTGTTGTTTTTCGGAATGTGTTTTTATGGCATTGTTAATGAAAAAGGTTCATCATTTTTGTTGAGTAGTTATCTATACCTGGTATTGATTGTACAATACTGTTATCTGCTGTAACGTCAACCTGACTTTGCAAGGAGATGATACAGAAGATGTTAACATTAGGGTTGTAATAAATAAATGTAAGTGTCAATATTTGTCACTGCCTGGTCCGTGTAAATACATATGGCAATACAATACAATGATTCCTTTCTTATTTTAAATGGTATATATCTAACAAAGGCAGTATTAACTGAATACCTTTTGGTGTGCATTACCATATCATAAGTACCTCCAATCATGTAGTCATTTTTAGTGAGTACATACTGTGTTAAATATATTTCAAAAACATTAATAACAAATACTTAGTAAAATCTGTTTTATGAATTATTATTTATTGTGGAATGTATGAAAAAGTATCCCTAGTAGTACAAAGATCAGTAAAGCTCTTGTACATCTGCAAAGTCACCAAGCCCAATACTGTTCACAAGCCTCTGAGGTCATACTTTATTATGCCCTTACTACATCCACGTAATTGTGATTTGAGCAGTGAGGACACATTACTGTATAGGAAGTCTCTCCAAACACAATAGTGGCTGGTTTTTGTTGTGTATCTATGGTCGATCTGAAGTTTCAGTGGAGGAAACCAATAAGCAGATTGGCTGTGACTTCACATATTTCATTTTTGGTAATATAATGTAGATTGTAAAATCAGAATGTAACTTGATTAGCTTACCAAACAAACAGAAAGTGCTTTACCTACTTCCCCCAATGCAGTTCCGCAGAACACCGGTGCACAACCAAGGCTTTCACGAACAGTAGAAAGAAGTGTTGCACATGTTTCTGGATCCAGGAAAAATCTTCTTTATTTATTCAAGGAATAAGACCAGGCATGGCAATCCTGCTAATTGACCCCACCACTTAACCCCCAACTTAATTCTTTAGCCTTACACCTCATATCCCCATAACCTTACCTTTAAAACCTAAGGCTTAACTGAAACCTTAACCAAGTAAATGCAGATTTTTACCTTAGTAACACAAAATACTTGCAGTTCTATGCTGCAACACTCCTGGTCAAATACGATTTCAGCTAAATGATGATGGCATAAATGCTTGATGAAGTGTTGTGTTTACTTGTCTGACATATCATTGTCTCTCTATATTTGCAGGCCTTGGAAAGTGAGTTTGTGTCTTGCCAGCTCCACCAATGGATTGATCTTCTATTTGGCTACAAGCAGCAGGGACCAGAAGCCGTTCGAGCACTGAATGTGTTCTACTACCTGACCTATGAGGGGGCTGTCAATCTGAGCTCCATAACAGATCCTGTCCTGAGAGAGGTATGTTCATATGTAATGTATTTCTTGTCAAGAGTGTTAAGCCATATTGTTTTATATACTCTGTTGTTTGACAAATTGGCTTTTTTTTTTAATATGAAGTGTGGTAGTTTGTAGCAGCCAGTCAGAGTTGATCTTTCATCAGTAATAGTACTTAGAGAATGATTATTTAGAGTGTGGGTGGTGAATGCACCTTAAATCGGACCCTTACACTAAAAAATCAAATTCTACCAATGCATCCCTCTATGTATGATGATTAATAATAACATTGACATGTCAGGTGTAAAATGCTGTGATTATGAAATACTTACACTTGCAGAGCATTCACTTCCTGCTTTGAAAGTGCAAAATACTTCAGTTTGCCAACGCAATGCACGCTTTGATTGCCTTGTTATCAGCAGAGCATTGTTTGGAAATCTCATATGTAATCTCATGAGATATCTGAGAAACTAATTTTCCTCCCTGAGATGATGTGCATGGTCACATGTGCCAGAAATTCAGGAAGTAATAGGAGAGCTAGTAACCTGCCCTTAGTAAACATGGCCACTGTCAGAAGACTGGGGAAGAAAAGAGAAATAAGGTATGCAAAGAATACAAAGTCGGCAATTATCTAGAAGTATGTGTTCATAGATTGTCATTACTAAACATTTCTAAAGGTGTGTTTGTTATTTTAAAGATATGGGTAAAGGTCCACTTTAAGCAATTTAAATAGATAAATGTACTTTTAAAGCACAGCTCAAGTCACACAAAAAATGCTAGTAGGCAATGTGTTTTGGCAGAGACTTTGTATGTCTCTTCAGACAAAAACTCCTTTGCCTTTTTTTTTATTTTTTTAGCATTTTAGTTTTTTACTAACACTGTCTTTTGCACATGCGCTGTGTAACCTCTTGGCATCTATGTACATAACTTCTTACCTTTAGCCTCTTCTACCCTGTGATTTATCACAATCTGGACCATTATATCAATTGCTTTGTTTACAATTATTCAGATTGCACTTTATGGTGCAGTGAGTAACTTTCTGTAGACCAGAAGTGTGAAAGATGAGCTAGACATCTCCATATACCTCTCTGATTCAAAGACTTCAGTGCCACTAGCCATGAATGATGGCTTATATACTGTACTGTATTCACATTTACACTGGAGAAATGCATCACAAACTGCTGGAAAAAGGTAACCCTCGCATACATTTAGCCAAGTCCGACCCTCCCCCATTCCATGTGGATTCCGACGGCTAATTGCGAAGAGCAAATTGCGCATCTAGAGAAGTCTTGTGTGTCTGCTTATTCTCAGTCCTGATCTTCACATGTTGCTGACTATGTTATGCAGTGCAGGCTGCAGATCTTGTCCCTACCCAAGCCTGTAATTGGTCAGTGAAAGGAAAGGCAGCAGGCTGATGAGCTCCTCTCTGTGTCAGTTTGCTCTATCCTCCTATCAATATACTTCTTTCTTGCACATGAGCACTGCAGCACAAATGATTGGCTCCTCATGTTGCTTTTCCCTCCTCAGCCTGAGCTCTGCTGTAGAATGGATTGCAAGAGACTGATACCAAGTCAGTTTTTTGGCATATTTCTTTACTGTATTGTTTTATAATATAAGCTGAATGTTTACATTAAAAATAATTTTAGTAGAGATTTGCTTTTTGAGAACTGAAAGATGTACAGGAATAGATATTTATGAATGAGATAATATGTTTTGTATTTTCACAAAGTAAGGTAGGCAATGTACACCATATTATTGATTGATTTGCATAATAAATCTATTTATCCTTTCATCCACATTTAAACAGTACTGTAGTACATATGTTACTGTAAATTATCATGTAAATAGTGTCACTTGCATTAGTCTAGTTGCCCAATAGTTTAGTCTGCTGCCTTTTTCATTTAATGTTAAAACATATTTGCCCTCTTAGAAGTAAGACTATTTTTACATAAAACAAATTAAACAAAAAAGAAATGGGCCCATTGGAACCCTGTCAGGCTTTAATGGTGCACATACAAAATCTTCTTCAAAAATTAGATTCCTTAATTCAAGAACAACTGTACAAATTACATAAAAATTCATAAAACCAAGAGATTTTTTCGCTTGGCAATAGCATGTGCCTCCAAGGAGGTATAAATAATGGACATCTTAACATATTGTTTTTGGCATAGATTCTGTGACATTACAGACATTTATGCGTTGTCTTTTTTCCGACACCTATTCATTTAAAGTTTTTAAATATATCTGAGAGCCTCCTGAAGAAGCAATTGATTGGAGATTGTGAAATGTGTTTGAGGTGCTTTGTGGTCTTCGCTTTGAGCCTTTGTAATGATACAAACTGTAAAAACTGTTTGTATGCATATATAACAATGTAAATGCATTGCAAACAAATTGAATAAGTAGGCCAACGGAGACAAATTCTCGGTTTTATGAATTTTCCTGTAATTTGTACAGTTGTTCTTGAATAAAGAATCTAATTTTTTAAGAAGCTTTAGTATGTGTACCATTAACCTCCTTGGCGGTATTCCCGAGTGTGGCTCGGGGTTAATTTTCTGTACCATAAGCAGTAACCCCGAGCCACACTCGGGAATACACAGGGCGTCTCTTACCTTGTCCCTGGAGACACGCTGTGTCCTCTGGCCGGTGCCGGCATCCGTCTTCCGGGTTCCGTCCCTTGCGAGCGTCGCAGGGGGGCGGAACCGGCGGGAGATTCAAAAGTTAGGGAAAAAAACGAAAACAAATAGAACGAAAAAAGGAAGAAAAAAAAAGAAAAAATCATACCGCCACGGAGGTTAAAGTCCGACAGAGTTCCAATGAGCCCATTTGATTTTTGTTTAATTTTCTAAGCAGTTAATATTTGGATGTGGTGCTTTTGTCTATATTTAGGCAAACAAACTATATACAGGTGAAACTCGAATAATTAGAATATCGTGCAAAGTTCATTTATTTCACTAATGCAACTTAAAAGGTGAAACTAATATATGAGATAGACTCATTACATGCAAAGCAAGATAATTCAAGCCGTGATTTGTCATAATTGTGATGATTATGGCTTACAGCTCATGAAAACCCCAAGAACCCCAAATCCACAACCTCAAAAAAGTAGATTATTACATGCAATCAATAAAACAAGGATTGTACATAGAAGAATATCGGACCTCTGAAAAGTATAAGCATGCATATGTACTCAGTACTTGGTTTGGGCCACTTTTGCAGCACTTACTGCAATTACTTTTGCACGATATTCTAATTATTCGAGTTTCACCTGTATAATGTTTATTTAGTATTTGTTATTTTCAGACAGATGTTATCAGGTTGCTAGTCATCTATGGCTATTTTTTCTTCAACTGTTAAATTCTCACATTGGAGCTAGTGCATGAAAATTGTGTTTGTAAAATATTTCTCGTTGCCAATAGCAGCCAATCATCTTCTGCCTCTTATTATTGCAGCTCAGGTTTAAAATATGAAACGATGATTCTGACTGGTTGCTGTGGGAACAAGAAATGTTTCTTAAATCAAGCTTTCCATACATCAGCCTTCTTGTGTCCAGTATCCAGAGCAGTAGGTGTTTAAAGCAAGCACATCAGACATAGCTACTGTTTGAAATTACCCATGAACTCATTGCCTCTGAATGCAATTGAGTGACATTTGTTTCTGTTGCTTGTGTCTGCTTTGACTAGCTGGTTTGTCTCAGATTGGCAGTCAGGATTATATTTCAGTCCTCCCAACACATGTAACTGTCAAGAACAAGCCTGGGCCTTTTTATTCCTTAACTGTATCTTACCTAGACATTGGAAAATCTCATTGTTCAGCAGTGTTATATTTTTCATCAGCCTTTTTATTGGTTAAGGGTTGACAAATGTTATATAAGCTACTGGAAAATGGTAATATAAAGCTGTTAAATACACATTACACATTTATGATTTCCTGCATTAAATCAAACGTTTTGGTGAATTCAATATATTTAGTCCAAAACAAACTTGTAAGCATGCATGAATTATATATAAAAAATATCAGAAAAAAGAAATTCATATGGCAAAAGACATGATAAGGGGCACTCAAGATGAAAAGTCTGGTACAAAATGGTAATTTGGCAGCATAATCTATACCAGTGGCGGAACTATCGCCATAGCGACCCAGGCAGCCGCTATGGGGCACAGGGGAGGGCCAGCCAGGATGAGGAACAAAGGGGTCCCCCTGATGCCATGTGGGCTGCCTGGGTTGCTATGGCATCGCAGGCTGCTGGCTGTCACTGGTGGCTGTGAGGAGGAACACGCTGCTGTCCACATCACTCACATCCCTGAGTCCGTGACAGCCAGCACCTGCGGTGGAGGAGGCCGGGGCCCTGTGATTTCTAGTTACGCCCCTGCTCTATACCTTTTATTTGGTCAATACAGATCAGGTGGTGTATTGCAGTGTGATCGCTAAAACAAGTCTTCATGATATCCTAAAGTAATTAAATTATTTAAAAACTGTCAACTCATGACCTCCATTCCAATATCTTTTACAATATAGCAGTTTCTTCTAGGTTGTTGACATGCTTTTAAGTAAACCTACACACTGCAAAGCTACCTGAAGCTGATGCCAATTATCAAATCAGATATTGATGCTTTGTTTATGCTCTGATCGCTTGGGGAGCCTATGAGCCCTGGGAGCTCAGTTTGCAGCCCATGTGTCAAAAACCCTGCACACTACTCTGCATGATTTGTATATTGATATCCCTGGGACTGAAGGCTTTCTGGTGCGCTTATGAACATCAAAAAAGATTATGTAGTCACCTATGCTCCTCAGTGCCATCTAGTGGGGTAGTGCCATGCAAATATGCTGGATGAAAGATTTATAACTCAGCCCTTTAGTGTTGGTTTTACTGTACAGTGTGACAGATTACTTTAAGGTAAACTGAGTTTAATTTCTTTCTTTAGGATATTGGCATTTCTCTGAATATTTTTATTGGATACTAGTCTTTACAGTGCAAGTATATCAATGCAGGATAAGTGCTAGAAACTTATTTTTAATGTCCCTTTCTTGGTGGTTGCAAGACGATGTCTCATTAAAGTGTTCTGTTTTGGCCTTAGCTACATAACTGTACATGTGGTCATTTTCTATGTAATCAAACTCCCACAGAAACGTTATGAGTTAGTAGGTTAATTAAGCATTTTATTGTTGCAGCTCATATTAGAGATTTTATTATTTAATTGCTATTTTCGATATATGAGGGGTCACAGAGCTTTTATGGATTAGACTGCCTATAAAACGTCTATGCTCAGCATCCTGCCCTTTCCTGTTATAGTCGGTCTGTTTTTATTTCTCTATTCACAGCCTTAGTTCTATCAGACAGTCATGGAAAAAAAAGCAATTTTGAGTTTGTGTCTGCAAAGAAAAAGTAACAAACCTATGTATTTACCTTAACTGTCTCCATATGTGTGTTCTTGGCTTCCACCAACCACTGACCTCTACTGAGAGCATTGTCCTGTTGCACAAAATGTTCAGTCCAGATTATACATTGATGTCCATCCCAATCGGACAAGTAAAGCCAAACATAATACAGTTCAGAATGCTAAGTCTATGTAGTCGATATTTTTCATGCATTAAAGCCAACCCTGTATCCAAATATTAGTGCCATATTAACAATCTTGCTGGAATGGATAAAGAATAATCAAATTCCTTTCCTGGAGAATATGCTGCTGCAGGCAGGTCCCATCGTTAAAATCACACTTCACAGGACTCAATATGGCACATAACTGCTTCCATGCTTGCCCATGTGACCTAAAGATGAGGCAGAGAATAATCTATGTTTTCTGGCCTAAAGGAGCATAGAGAGTGTCTCATTTCTGCTGCAGGGTTTGTGATGAGCATATATATATATATATATGTGTGTGTCTTGTCATGCACATACATAGTTGCAAACTATGCATAGAAACAAGATGTTTAATACATTACAGCACAGATTTCGCACATGAAGATCCCATCCCAGAGCAAAGATATAGGTTTTGCAGTGGAAATATATGGAGAACCCATATGCCGGTGTAAGGTTTCAGCTGTTTTCTAGGAGATTTACCCTCAAAAGGTTCATACACCATCCAATTACATCTAAAGTAGAGTAATCTATATTCAGTGGAGTTAAACTTTAGCCTGTTTATTCTGTTGTTGCGCCTCAATATGTGAATATTGGACCCCCTACTTGTTAGTAACTAGGCTTGAACAAATAAGCTATTTTTTGTTTGTACAAGATAGATAGGAGTATCCTCCCATACCAACACATGAAGACCATTGACTTCATAATTGTATTTGCTTTTTTATTGCTCACATTGGGAACAATTAAAACATTTGCACAGGCTTATGGCTGGGCACCATCTTGTTACACATTTGCTGCTTTGTTTATTACCTTCTAAAACAGTAACAAAATGTATTCAGTAGGATGTTCTAAATTATGTGTGTTCCAGAAAAATACAGACAAATAGACACACATCTACAAGACGCAGGAAATTCTTGGTTTTTAGCTTGCACAGCCATTTTCCCATCATGACTGTTGTCTAAGAGTTTTCTATGGCATTGTATATAGTTTCTTTGTTTTATTAACATTGTAAGGACTTTTATCTGTAAGTCGAGCTATGCGTAGTTGAGGTAATCATCAGCAATCCAGGCAAAACACATGATTTCTGATTGTAATATCACAGCTTGTTTCTGCTTAATATCACACAGCAGCGTGGAGAGTTTTCTCATGAGTTTCTCATGAAAAGAATATGTAAGCTCCTAAAAATGACTTCACCAGAAATAGCAGTGCCAATTGCTGGATTTGGCTCCATTGCTAGAGAGAGACTATTTTGGGTATGGTACCAGTTAGGATTAACAAAATGTTAATTACTTATTACAACTTGTATTCATCTCTTTGGCACCTGTTTTTTGAGTCTACATTTGTAATCATTTTTTAGGGTGTGGAGGCCCAGATCCGGAGTTTTGGACAGACTCCATCACAGCTGTTAATAGAACCACATCCTCCCAGAAGTTCAGCCATGCAAGTGGTAAGTACAATTTGCTTAGAATCAAAGCTAATACTGAAATATAATTACTACATTTGTTGTAAAGCACCTAGTGGCAAATATGCTGTATCAGTAGTACACAATGTTTATAAGATCTTGTTGATTTTATTGCCCTTGCTTCATTAGTATTTATTAAAGCCAAGACTACTAGCTTGAAACGCATTGTTAGATATCCTGTAAGGTTAGAGCATATTCTATATGAGATCTTGTTTGAAATGTGATCTCGCTACCCTTCATATAAGAATTCAGTGCACTACTAGAATATTGCACCATGTTATCCATCAATCAGTACAGAATGTTTGTTTTATTGTCTGCCTTAGCTAACTTAAGTTATTAAAAATGCAAACTTTCAAGATTCTCTGGATCCCTTCATCAAACTTTACATATCTAAATCACTTGTTCAAATCAATAAAAAGGAGAGAGAGAGATATGACAGCGTGCTTAAAATTTGCTATGAGAAATGAGTTAAACATTACCAACACAACTGATTAAATTTTTTTTACATCTTTAGCGTACATGAATATATCAGTAGAAATACTTTTTTGCACTTTTTGAACAGAAATGACAAAACACTTTTAATGGTATAGTTAACCGCTCAAAAGGTAGAAAATATGAGACGTTTATTGCTAGGGTGTACATGCACTTTAAGGCATGTTATAAAGTAGTGGATTTTTGGAAGTAAAAAGCTAGTGTTTGCATAGCCAGAGATGCTTTGTTAATTTCCTTATTTAAGTTTGTAAGAAAAATGTCTGTGTGTGGTATTTATAAAATGCTTACTGTATTCTACGTACCCAAAAGTGGTATTGCATAATATATAATATGCAGCCCTTCCATTGTAACAACGGTCTGGATATGGGTACAGTGAGAGGGTGACTTGAGGATATAATAGAACATATGTCTGGTTGACAGAAAGTTGTGGAAATTGTGTTTTAAATAGAACAAATCTAAAAGGCGATTATGTCTTTTTTGGCTCTAAATGGCAAGAGAAGAATTCCTGGGTGGTGTTAGAGGATTACGAGTAGATGACACATTTACACGAATTGGCTGTCTGCCACATTTGCTGAGTTTCCCTTGCTTGTTAACCTGTGTGTGGAACTCTGAATTTATTCAAGGGGCTCAAGTTATTTTGCAGAGTTGTCTAGTTGTGTTTGATATACAATTGTAACTGCTCATTTCACATCTCTGGCTACTGTAAAAGTACAGCCAGTTGATGCAGTATTTAAGTTTAATTCATTAAATCCCAGTGGACTATCACTGTATTAAAAATTATCTTTTAAACAGAATTTTGGTTTGATGAATGAATTTCTGCATGCATGTTTGTTACATGCAAAATGTGTAGGAGAGTTTTAATTTACAGTCCAAATTAAGTTTTTCAAGCAAAATGACTGAAATGCATTTGGATTGCAGTCTAAATGGTAAGTGCTGTAGGTCTTACGGTTTGGCTTTTGGGTTAAAAACTTTCCCACACCTCTTAAACATCCAGTCCCTTGCCTGTAGCCTGCAGCTGAGGACTGCTGCTCTCTAGGTGAGAGAGACGGTCTTTTAGCAGTGGTCTGTCAGAGCTATAGCAATGTACTCAGCAAAGCTTGTATTCCCTGATGTTTGCGGTGCTGTATCTGACATGGCGGGACCTTGTTGGACCACTGCAGAGAGACTGTGGCTCTCAGACAGAGAGCAGCAGTCTTGAGATGGAGGCTACAGGAAAGGGACAGGGTGTTTTAGGGATGCTGCAACTCAAGCATTAAGATTTACTATTTCCCTGCATGCTAAATGTGTTTAAAAAATTTAGTTAGGCTTTAAATTTCAGTACGTTGTCTGCCTATATTTTTATATAGAGGTCTTCACCTGCTCTAACCCTTATCCCTGCTGCTGGACATTCATCCCTGTTGCTCTGTCCTGTCCTGCCTCTGCCCTGTTGTTTGTAGGACTAAAGTCTGTAGGTAGGCTGGTCGCCAACATCTATGATATTCGCTTTTTGCATGTATATGACTTAAATGCCCTAAACCACCAATTTCAAAGAGCAGAAATCTGTCAGACTTTCCGATATGTTCTATAGACCCCCCAGCCATCCCTAAACCTGAGGCACCCACATTTTTAGCTTCCTCCCTGCTAGCTCCCACATGTTATTATGAGATGAGTTATCACTGTGAAGGATAATAAGCGAGACAGGAGGTGGGCCCAAGTGCCAAATTCCTTTGGGAAGATGGGATTTAATTGAGCACTCTAGGGCTGCAACAACTAATCGACATAATCGATTATAATCGATTATTGAAAAAGTTGTCAACTTTTTAAATCATCGATTAATCGGCTTTCCGATTGGTTGCCCCTGTTCATGGCTCCACACACACTGCGCGCCGCACCTCCTCCCCACCTCACGCGCGCCGCTGCCAGACCCGCCCACCTGCATCCACGCCTCACCTCCTCCCCACCTCACGCTCACCACCCGCCCAAATCCACAATAGGCACAGGGACGCGGAGAAGAAGTAAGGAGGAGCAGATGTGGGCGGATGACAGCCGCCGATAGAAAGGCCCGATCTCAGAAAGAAAGTTGCTGGAAGACTGCTCAGGTAAGCCTGCACTGGGATTAGTATTCCTCTATAGCTGATGGTATATTATACAGCACAATGTACCATCAGCTATAGAGTACTACAAATCCCAGCAATACACGCCTGTGTGCCACTAGATTGTGGCGTCGTTAATCTAGTAATCTAGTGGCACACAGGCTGATTGCAGTCCTGAAACTGCTGTATCCTCGAAACCACCTATACATGCCTTTGTTTGACCTACCATTGTGAGTACCCTTGCACTCTATATTTGTGTCTTTTTAACCCTTTCGCTGCCAAGGACGTACGGCATACGGAGCTACAAAAGTGCTTCTGGCTGGCCAGCTCAGTATGCCGTACGGACCCTGGCATTTACAGTTCTACTATAAGCTGATGGCATTTACAGTTCTACTATAAGCTGATTAATAGCTGTCATCAGCGGCTCACAAGCTGCTGATGACTGCTATCATCAAAAATACCAGGCGCCC